GTCATCTCAACTAAACTGCTTCTTTCAGTCAAAATGAACACATTTAAAAAATGTTCCTTAACACCTGACAGCTAACGTGCTAACGGTTTTACACCGGACACATAATAATCCACTATATATGTATTTATATGAACGCTACACCCATGTTGGTGAAAGCTGGAAGCTTAAAGTCAATCACAAGACTGTTAAAACTAAAGTATTTTAATCAACCGAGCTTGAATTGTTATTGTAACCCTCTAATTAACAATTTTTTTGTATTACTACTTCTGACTTAAATGAGTTTTATATAGCCACATTTTTTTACCGGAAGTTCAGAGCTGGATGTAAACATGTGTCAAATTTATAGCTGCTGTTTAATCTGTGTGTGTTTGTGAACTCCAGAATAACAGACATATCAGGAATCTCGTATGATTTAGTCAAACGCTGATATAACTGTTAACCGCAATCGTATGCTCACTACGATGAAAACTATTTTAATATCCATATATAAATATATCTGTGGGAAAAACGAACCACCAGTATCCAATTTCACCACCTCAACCCCACACATTGGCGTAAGCTTTTGAATACTATATATGCCTCACAACTAGTTACATAATTTTTGCTAGCCCATATGCAATTTTGAATGCTCCAAATATTCTGTTATATTACATTTTTATATCCTGAACAGGGTATACTAAGTTTGCCACGAAATTTGTAAGACCCAGTAAGAAATGCCAGAAACCCTATAAAATATTCATATAGATATAAATTATAAGCGTTACCTGCTGAGTTGATTTAGCCAAGTTCGTCTGTATGTATACTCGTATACGCAAATTAGTCATTCAGTTTTTGAGATATCGTTCTGAAATTTTGCACACTCTTTCCAAGAAGCTGCTCATTTGTCGGAACCGCTGATGTCGGACCACAATAGCAACTATTAAGTTCTTGTAAAGAAGACTGTTTCATTTGACGAGATATCTTAACGAAACTATATATGGACTATCATCCAAGTCAATGCCACAATATCCTAACAAATTTTTCCGATCGAACTATATAGCTGCCATACAAACTGAAGGAATAAAATTCTATGTGGATTATTATCCAATGCAACGGTACAATCTCCGAAGAAATTGTTCAGATCGAGTCACTATAGTATGTATTTGTCATACAAACTGCCCGATAAAAGTTCTTGTCAAAAATCTTTTGTATTTGTGAAGGGTATTAACGCTTCTGTGGAACCGCAATTAACGTGTTTTCTTGTTCAATTACTTTCCGTTGGTTTTTTGTAAGCTCAACCAGCGTGTAATTCACACGAATTTTATTCTCGCTCTTTCCATTAACGCCAACACATAAAATTCATTTTTTAAAGTGAGTTTTTGTATGAGTATCTTATAATAGTTAGTTACGAATCGTAAAATACTCTGAACTAACTGGTGCCTATCTCTTTGATTGCTATATGTCATCAATCTATCTGCTGTTGTACTGACATGTAAACTTTTTTAAATGCCACTTATTTGATATATCGATAGTTTTTGTGATTTAATATGGTTTATTGTTAAAAGTATTCGTTAAGGGTAGCTTTTGGGATACTTATGATCATAATCACTTTGATAATTATAAGTCAAAGTCGATATCTGAAAAAAATATTGTCAGTAATGGAAGGTAGGTAGGTAGGATAGATGGTTGCGACTCTTTTTCCATAAAGAGCCTTACAATCGCATAGAAGATGTTTATCCGTCTCCTCCTCTTCTACCCCATGACAGCTTCTACAATAGTCATTAAAATGCGTTCCTAGTCTACTGGCATGTGGCCTGTTAGTAATCCTACTAGAGTCGGCATGTGCAGCCAATATTCCAATCTTGCCACGTTTGCCTGCGTGTTGAGCAAGTCAGAGATTGATTTAGTCGAGACTCTGCTATGTTTATAATATGTTTGTCAATTAAATATCTACAAGTAGCCCTCTTTTTCGGACTGTTGTTGTAGGGTGGTGCCTGTTGTGTGTGAGATTCACTAAGATTTCAATACATTCTTTCACTAACTTAGACGAAATCCTAAGATACTTTAGTAATCTCAAAGCCGCCTGGTTGTCTATGTACATAGATATATTTTTCGTTGTGAGCACACTCCTTGTCAGTACAAGAAGGCTTTCTTTAATTGTTGTGACCTCTGCTTGAAAGACACTGCAGTGATGTGGAAAACGGAAGGTGATTTTGGTATCTAATTTAGTAGAGAAGACACCGCCGCCCACTCGGTTATCTTGTTTGGAACCATCAGTATAGATGCTTATCCCTGCATTCTTGTCCGCCTCGCCCCTTTGCCACTCTTCTCTAGGATTTCGAAAATCCCTGGTAATAGGGAGACGTGAACTTTCTAAGTATCATAGAATGCCCCTTGTTACGGGCGACTAGTAAGGAGGATTTCCTTAGTCTATGATATGATTCGCTGCCATTTGCTTACAAAACAAGTCTGTTGGCAGTAAGTGTAAGATTACGTTTATGGTCTGACTCGGCGTTGTTCTGAGAGCTCCACTGATGCAAATACCGGCTGCTCTTTGTATACTTTCCATACGTCTAACCGTGTATTTCTTTTCCATTATTGGCCACTACACCAATAAACCGTAAGTCATCATCGGCCTTGCAACTGCTGTGTCCTGTCCAAAATTAGTCCCAAGTAGCTTGCCTTATCTCCTATAGCTAGACTGGTACGATTTAATAATGGAGTTGACGCAATAACCCTAGTCCGACCATCGGGTGAAGTTTTACGCATTTTGAAGTTTAAAACACCGTAACTTTGTTATGCTTCAGAAAAACTCACGAAATTTAGAGTATTTAAGAAAATTTGTAACTTACTTTAGAATATTATCAATTTTGATTTGTTGGAATGCAACAACGGTACATATTTAAAACTTACGTGGACAGCCGTTGGGAATAATTTCACCAATATGAACATTATATGTATATAAATAGTAGATTTTGTTATTAGAAAATTTTAAAAACTCTATAAAACACAAAAATACTTTCACAATTTATCTCTGTTTGGTATTTTTGTGCTAAAAATTTCAGCTGTTTGAATTGTAAGCATATATTTATATATTGGAGTAAATTAACATAATTTTTATTGGGTTTCGTGTGCTAGTTCCAGTTTTTCTAAAAAAAATATAACTTTTCTACAAAAAACAATCAAAATGTTTTCTTGAAATCAGGGGAGGAAAAAGATTCATTATTTTATAATCGCTTAAACATTAATAATTTCTACATAGCATTTATATGTTGATGCAATTCAACAAATTCTTGGGGAAAGTGACGAAGCTGTTGAATCTGAATCAGAAACGATTTTGTTCCCGGAATTCATGAAAGTGAGAATTCCTCCAATGAATGTAGCTTTGAAGAGGAAGTCCGCGAAGTGTGAGATAGGCGCTCTGTGACAACAAAACCAATTTTGCTTCGAATATGCAAGTTTATACTGACAAGCTTCAAGGTACGGTACCAGAAAGGAATCAAGGCCAACGTGTTGTTCTTGACTTGGAAAAGGGACTAAAGGTTCGTAAAATTATTTCTGACAACTTTTCACAACCTACAACCTTACTATGGAGTTGGTATAAAAGAGAAATTCTTTGATTGGAATTATAAGAGCAAATATAATATAACGTTCTTGCCTGACTCAAACAAAAGCGAACTTCGGAATCGTCCGGTTCACTCAAAACGTTAATCTGCGGCGTACATAATACTGCAGTCTACTTTTGTTACAAATGTAAATATATTACCGAAAATGAATATCTAAATAGGTTTTTAAATCAAAATGATAATTTTTCTTGACTTAGCGGTACAAAATACCCATGGGTAAATTTTAACCCATGAGGGTCTTAGGTGTAAGTTTTTTTGAGGCTCGAACTTGAGGGAATGAAATGTTATTGGTAGATACACAGTACTTATGGATTAAGATGTAATGAGGAGATGCCCGCTTTTTTTGCTAAAAATTATTTAACTTTAATTGGCTATTGTATTGCGCGTTCTATACTTAGTTCAATGTTTCAAATCGAAAAAATCCAAGTATTGTATGCATATGTAAATAAAATGAACAATACGGTTTTTACCATATAGAAGTATATATATTCAATCTTGGGGAAGATCAATAATACTAATCAAGTACTATATCAAGCATAATAACAGGAAATCTAAAAGCCAATAAGCTTTGCGTAAACATATTCTGAAAACCTTTTCCCTAACTGACCCTGGGCTGTATAAATATTAAAACTACGCCGTCGTAGGTTGCCAGTAAAACACACAGATTGGGTCCCAAAATTCATATTCGATTAAACTGTTGTTTAATTTAAAAGTAAAGGATATGGAGAACGGATCTTTTAGAAGATGAGTAGTTCAAAAATATAGTGTACTCAACATCACTAATGACAGCGCTAGGCTCCAACCCCATAATCATTAAAGGGAAATTTTTGAACAATGCGAAATCTTTTTCAAAGCTGGGGAATATTAATGACTTAATTCCAATGCAAATAGTATTTTATTTAAAATGTTGGAGGAAGCAGAAGAGCAGACGTCTTCCTATAATGAAAAAAAGCTCTAACAGTATGTTTTTTAAATAATAAATTGAATCTCCAATTTTTTTTTGTGAGTCAAATGCAGTCTCATTATGAAAAAAATTAAGAAAAATCAAGTGTTTTTACAGTTGATATACATATTTTTGTCTGTGGTGCAAGAGCGAATTGTTGCTCAAAAGAAAAATAAATGGAAGTCGTAGATAACGTACGCAATAGACTATTTATTGTATAGAAGAACAACAAAAAACAAGTTACAGTCGAGTGAAAAAACCGACTCAGTGCATCAAATTGCAGCGATAGAGTGGCAAGTCCAACAACAATACAAGGGCTGCGTGCTATATTATATATATAAAGAAAAGTTAAAAGCGTACAAGTTACTGGCAATTGCAATGCCTCCTTCCCCATTTTATGAGAACCAAAAAAAAGCAGATATTTTCTTACACACATATGCACAAGCATATATATAGATACGAATTTTCAATCAAAAACATGCCACATGAATCAAACAGACAGACAGAAGTTATCGACATCGTATTTTAAATGTACATATATATCTTTGTATGTATTTTTAGGGATCGTGCGATTTAACACCGCTGGACTATCAAAATCAGCCCGAGACGATTGACACCTGGGAAAAACATATTTGTCGCGTTATTACTAACATACGGCCCCTATTGCTGCAAGAAGTGTGAGAAAATTGGTTCTCTCGGCTGAAATTTATTGGAGCCAGCTGCGGCGGCCTCTTACTCGAAATAATTTTTAAAACGTAACGGTAAGCCCTTGTCTTTATAATAAAATAAATTCTTGTTCATAACATTAAATTATATGCACTCTTACGAAGATTGATAAGAAGCTTGCATGCCTGAAAATAAAAGTTCCAAATCTGCAATCAAACAATCCTACAAATAATTTAATTATCTTTAAGGTTATTTGGGCAACGCAGTTATTTATTATAGTGATATGCAACATTGAAACACAGCAATAAGAGTATTAACAACAAGTCATGTGCATTTTAACAACGACAACAGCTGGGGGTCACATTAGTAAGCAAAGTTAGCAATAGTTTCTTCGTTGGCAGTTATAAAGGGGTGCTGCAACACATGACACGCATACAATAGCCAAGCGTTACTCTTCAGCGAATAGAACACGCTGTGCCAGATGCTAAAACAAATGGGCAGCACTCATGGTGCAATGTTAAGTTAAGTGCTATGATTATTAGTGGCAAAATTACTGAAACCCTTTATTTTTGTTTTCTTTGAATTACCTTAATTGATTTTAAGTCTTAAGTTTTAAAAATACAAGAAAAAAGAAGAAATTTGTATTTTCATCTGTCATTTGATTCATTTACAATATTAAAACTGCTCTGAAATATGCAACACCAAGCTTGGTAGCATTGAAGATAGCGGCCTATACCACGTTATTAAGGTATACGCATACTAATTTTTTTGACAGAAGAGCAGAGAAATGGCAAATCTGAGACAGCTAATTTTAAAAAATTTTGAAAAAAAAGAAGAATTGCCAGAAAAAAACGGAATCTTTTATTGGAATCAATTTTGGAAAAAAGACGTGTAACAAAAGTACACAATTTCTTCAACACAATTGAGCAGTACGATAACGATGTATTCTTTTCCCACTTTCGCATGACTCCTCACACATTTGCCGTAAGTATTGTAATTAAAAACCAATTGTTTATAATATAACCAATGCTTTTGATTTGTTTAGAAATTGACGCATGCTCTGCAGCCGCATTGGTTAACCTTTAACACTCGCTACTCCCTGAAACAATCGCTGTAAGCAATAGTCGCGTAACGTACCGAGAACTCTCTGATCGATTCTGCGTTGGAAAAGGAACAGCACATTAACTTTTTTTCATGACCATCAAAACCATATGCTATATAACTAAAAAATGAAATACTTTGGCCCACGCTTGTGGAGCAACAAGGAATTATGGAAGAGTTCCAATCAAAAAGAACAAATCCATTTCCATTGTGGTTGTAAAATAAACACCCCCAAAAAAGATGCAATCAGCTATTATGATCGTAAAGGAAATTTTTCGATAACTATGCAGGTAAAACGATGTATTATAAATATAGCCTATTACAATATACAATTTTAGATTTATTTTTCTATCTAGGCTATTTGCGATAGACGATTTTTAGACGTCTTTATTGGCTTTCCTGGAAGCTGTTACGACGCCAACGTCTGGCAAAATAGCCCAATTTACCAAAAGATCACCTCCGGAGAAGCTTAGCTCGCGATCACGGCCGTAATATTAGCAGATTCGGCCTATCCGCTATCAAAATATTTGATGGTCCCGTATAGGGATAATGGGCATCTTTCACCAGAAGAGAAAAAGTTTAGCTACTACCTCAGTTCCACACGAGTATTAGTCGAACAGTCGTTCGGCCTTTTAAGGCAGAAATTTAGAATACTCAATCACATCGACGTTTCAACTATAAAGAGTGCTTCGAAAATTGTAATGGCCTGTACTATGTTACATAATTTTATATAATCCCACAATATCAATATAACAACGATACAGTGGCTGTTGCCGAAAACATTAACGAGAGTAGTGAAGGTATTATAAGAAGGAATGAATTAAAAATGTTATTTTCGTCATACATTTTTTATTTAAAAATAAATAGCATTACAAAAAAAATGTTCTACATGTTTTTTGTACTATCACATTCATGTTTGTAGTACAATAGGTTGCAAAAAAAATTTCAATTTATAGGAGATCAAATACTTCAGGTAATTAATGTAATTAAATTCTCTTCGCCAGAATTTCTCGCAACGCACTCAAAACGGAAATTTTTTCCTTTTCAATTTCTAGCTTCTCTCTTTCTAGTTGTACTAGTTCTTCGTGGCGTTTTTGCTCCTGACTAGATTCCGCCTTTAAAAATGTTAATGTCTCGTTTTGCAATTTTTTTCCAAGGTAACTGTCCGAGTCACCGCAATCCGAGTCTTCGCACGTGGGACTTCCCAGGGAGGATAGGAAGTTCTCCAACAGAGGCTCAATTGAGTGGCGGCTGCCATAAACAGCATTGAATTCTTCGAAATACTCCCAGCTGGTGGCATCCCTTCCTGTAGATTTATTCCTCTTTTTTATCCTCTTGTACGAGGCCAACATATTCAAAAATTTCCTCTGAATTGCCTCCTTCGAATCCTTTATTTCGGGATTCACTGCTTTCATAGACTCTAGGACTCTACCCCAAAGGACCGCTTTTTTCTTTTCGGCCTTCATATCGAGCCGGCATCTTATTAGTAACTTTATTATTGAACCCGATCTTTCGCTACAAATAAGTAAAAACACAATAAGTTAAAAATTTGTGTATATAAATTGATAAAATATGAAATAAATCACATTTACACTAACCTTTCTTCGTCCATACTGTTCTGCAGACAAAATTTTGGTGTTGCTGAAATTTTGATAAATTGTTGCAAGTGTTGCCAAAAATTCTCGCAGAACGTGATACTTTGACAAATTTGCAACACTGCTGTCGTGATCGCCATCTCGAACGCACCCATACTCGTATGACTATTATAAGATTCAAATATATTTTGGCAAACAATTCAAAAGCTTTGCATAAAATTCAACCGAATGCTTTATGGACTTTATGCATACGTAACATTAGGTATGTATGCGTAAGCTTGCACATCATTTGCAACACTACAAGCTCATAAGTATCGCAACTTGGCTAACGAAGTAACCATATTGTGAAATGTTGTCTATGTACCATTAGTGTGGGGCAAACCAAACGGCAGCTGACCAATTTAAACCCACTCAACTATGCCGGTCATATTAGTGACTCGGGGTTAAGAGGTAACGTGTTGAGCGCTGGTGCGGATGTGCGAAGTGGTAGGCAAGGGCAACAATTTGGCACAAATTCGGACAATAGGCTCATGAAAAAAGTGTGTCTGAAAAAATAAACAATTGAGAAGGCACAAGAAATTAGATAGGATAGAGAAGAAAATAGTTGTGTTTTTAGTTCATTGTTTGTTCCTGAAGATCCACAGTTACTATTCATAAATATATAATTGGCGCAGTCGACGTTCCGCGACACAAAACAAACAAAAAATAAATAACTAAAAATAGATAAAATTAAAATACAAAAAATTTAATGTAATAATTATTTTAAATATAGGCATTGGTAGCTAAACACAAATTCTCCACGGCAGCAGCAAGAAATTCAACAACTTAACAGTAAAAGCAAATTCAGCGAAATGTAATATAGCGAAGGCGCAGAAAAGTAAAAGCAATAACAATATGACAAAAAGTAAATTTTTTTGGAAAAATCAAAGAACTGAACACAATCGTTTAAACAGTGATATATATACATACAAACATAAACATATATATATATATATATAACTTTTTTTTTAAATCCAGTGTGATTCCTGAAATTTTTCTGCTAAAAACCGGACGCCAGTCGAAATAACTGCAAGAGAAAAGTTTTATAATAAACCTACAGCAACAATAACAGCAGTGCTACTGCAGGCAACATGTCATACTATAAGGCGCTGAAATCGTGTTTATTCTAACTAAAAGTTTGTCTTTGACAGTTTTTCGATTAATTGACTAAGTACGTTGTAAGCGCTCGTCAAAGATGGACACCAGCAAGATCAAGGCGAAAAAGCAGCCAAAGCGGCTGAAAAAATTAATTTAGTTTATGAGCCCGATACTGTAAACGAACGTGTAGCACAAAAGTGGTTTGCTAGGTTCCGTTCTGGTAATTTTGATGTCAAAGATGCACCACGCGTGGGGAGGCCTGTCGTCGAAAATTGCGATAAAATCATGGAAATAGTGGAAACAGACCGTCACGTTAGCACTTATTTAATTGCTGAAGAACTAAAGATAAGCCACAAAACCGTTTGGAACCATTTGCATAACCTTGGATTCAAAAAGAAGCTCGATGTTTGGGTGCCACCCGAACTAACGCAAAAAAACATGATGGACTGAATTTCCATCTGCAAATCGCTGCAGAATCGCAACAAACTCGACCCGTTTCTGAAGCGGATTGTGACTGACGATGAAAAATGGGTCACTTATGACAACATCGAGCGCAAACGGTCGTGGTGAAAGCTCGGGGAAGCGGCCCAGATGGTGGCCAAGACCTGATTGACGGCCAGGAAGGTTTTGCTGTGTGTTTGGTGGGATGGGCAAGGAATCATCTACTGCGAGCTGCTCCCCTATGGCCAAATGCTCAATTCAGCCCTCTACTGCCAACAACTGGACCACTTGAAGGCAGCACTCATCCAGAAGAGGCCATCTTTGATCAACAGAGGCCGAATTGCGTTCCATCAGGACAACGCCAGGCCACACACGTCTTTGGTGGCTCACCAGAAGCTCCTGGAGCTCGGATGGGAGGTTATAATGCACCCATCTTATAGTCCGGACCTGGCATCAAGTGATTACCCTCTTTTCCAGTCCATGGCGAAGTTGGCCTTAAGAGAGGCCTGTGAAAATTGGCTCTCCGAGTTTTTTGCTAATAGAGAAGCAGCTTTCTACGAGAGGGGTATAATGAAGTTGGCACCTCGTTGGCAACAAGTTTACGAACAAAGCGGCGCATATTTGACTTAAATCGGACAAATGTACACAAAGTTATCGTAGTAATAAGAACGAACTTTTTACTTGACCAATATTTACATGAATGCTTATACATAAGATAAAACAACTAGCAGCAGAGACGTTCGTCTATATGGTACGAAATACAACGACAGGGACAGACATGACAAATACAATCCACAATTTCATAGGGCTGGACGATAGAAATTTAAAAACTATGTTTTTAACAAAAAATTGAAATTCGGACTCATTTTCTCAAAATATTAGAAATTTTAATAGTAACAGAAACCATAATAATTAAAGAACTAACAACTATAGGAAACAAATGGTAGTGAGCAAAATATTGGTCGTTTCAAAAGTAATTCAGGGCAACATTCCCGTAATAATAATTAACATTATTCACATTCACAAATAGTTCGGGACGGTACTCCCAAAGAAATACAAACTTTTCAGGGTAAAATAATTATCACCCAAATAATCCCCACAGACAAATTAACTCAGAAAATTCAGGTCAAAATAATCAATATCGTACTAATAACGGTTACTGTTATTCTGCAAGGCAACCATGGAGGTTGACGCTATGAGCAAACAGAGGAAACAAATAACAACTAGGAATTTTTAACCAATTAGCCTCGAAAAATCGAAAGAAAATTTAAATTTCACACACTCTATTTAATAAGAAATGGTATGCATTAGTAGACACAGGCTCTACCATAAGCATAATGAAAAGAGCAAGTTTCGAAAAGTATAGTTTACCAGTTTTAGAAAAAAATACATAACAATAACATTAACGGAAGAGTTAAGACACCATGCCCACTATAATTTAGATACCCTCAAAATGCACGAATGCGATGGTTAAAAATAGATTTTAACAAGCCACACGACCTTATATTGGGGAATGATTTTATATTTAAAAATGTAAAAACGATAAACATTCAAAACAAAGAAATTGTGTCAAGCTTCCATACCATACGAAAATTATGCAGGAGCAAGTGTATTCGTTGGAAGAAAGTGAAGTAAGTAACATTAAACTCGAGGGAGATAATCTGACAAACACGAATATCGTTTTTCATGAAATTAGAATAACAAGGGATCAGCTAATTAATTACCGAATTTATAGATTGTCCCCAAACATGCGGAAGAGGCTGAAAGGCAAATTAAAGAAATGAAAAAGTAAGGAATAATACGAAAAAGTCGAAGCAAATACAGCTCACCTATAATAACTGTGCCAAAGAAATCAGATAGTTGCGGAATAAACAAATTTCGATTAGTGGTTGATTACAGGAGTTTAAACCAAATTACTGTTGACGATAAATATCCCCTGCCAAATATTGATGGAATTTTAGATAAACTGGGCAAAGCACAGTACTTTAGCACCATAGATCATTTAGGTTACCATCAGATTCTAATGGCAGAAAAGAATATAGACAAAACAGCTTTTGTGACTTCAACAGGCTTATATGAATACGTCAGGATGCCTTTTAGGCTTAAAAATGCTCCAGATTAATGAACGACATCCTTAGGGAACATACTAATGAAATCTATCTAGATGACATATTAATATTTTCTACGTCGCTAAAAAAACACATACATTCACTAGAAAACATTTTTTCAACGCTTCAGGAAAATAACCTAAAAATCCAGGTAAATAAGTGAAGTTTTTTAAAAAGAGAAACCGAAGTTTTGGGCTACGTTGTGACAAAAGACGGCGCTAAGCCCAACCCAGAAAAATTTTAGCCATACAAAAATTACCAATTCCAACAACAAAACGGCAATTAAAAGGGTTTTTAGGGACCACAGGCTATTATAGAAAGTTTATTGAAGATTACTCTAGAATAGCTTACCCAATGATTTAAAGAAAGATAACAAAATAAATCCGAGAGATCCTCAATATATAGCCAGCTTTAAAAATTTAAAAACCCTTATCTCATCACATCCAATTATAAAATTTCCTGAATATGACAAAAAATTTACATCTACTACGGATGTAAGCGATTACGCTATTGAAGCTGTCCTTTCACAGGAAGCCCAACCACTATGCTTTATCGGAAGAACATTAAACAATCGTGAACAGAAATAT